CCTTGAGTTGAGGAAGAGGGAATGTGAATTGGGAGGGCTGGGGACATGGATGGGGAAGGGATGGGATACCCACATTGGGACACTTTCACTGCAGCCCTGGAGACCTCGTTTCTGAGGGCAGCCAACCCAGAAGCCTTCCAAACCTCCTGCAGACATGCCCAGGACATGCCACATGCCTTTTAGATCACCAGCTAACGTGGCTTGCCCTCCTGCAGGGAAGGGGCTGATGGGGCCTCTTCCCCTGGGGCTGTCACTTCCCAACCACCTATCCCCTGCTGAGTATGAATTTGCAGGGCTCTGTGAGAACAATTAATTATTAAGTAAGGTCATGTCCTCAGAAGTCCAAACTCCAGCCATATTTCCCAGAACCTTATATATACCCCCAGGTATAAGATAAATGTTGAAGGAAGACACAGTGAACTTTCTGAGATCCCCCAATGGAATCAGCTACTGAGAGCTAACAGAAGATAGTTTTTTTTGTTGTTATTTTTATTTAATTAATTAATTAATTAATTAATTAATTTTTTTGAGTTGGAGTCTCACTCTGTTGCCCAGACTGAAGTGCAGTGGCAGCTCCCGGCCACCGCAGCCTCGCCTGCTGGGCTCCGGTGATCCGCCTCAGCCTTCCGAGTAGCCAGAATTACAGGCACGCGCTACCATGCCCGGCTGATTTTTTTATTTATTGTAGAGGTGAGGTCTCGCTGCCCAGGTGGGTCTCGAACCCGCGGGCTCAGGCAATTCACTCACCTCAGCCTCCCAAAGGCACGGGATTACAGGCTGAGCCACTGAACCCGGCTTAGAAGATAGTTTTTAAGAGAACCCCAAGCAAATCTCTCAGACTGGGGATATGTCAAACACTTTTACTATTATTATTAATAATAATAGCAGCCACTTATTGGGTCCCTAAACTATGATAAAACTTTGTTCTAATGAATTTAATCTTTGCAGCAATCTGCAAGGTAGATAATATTATCATTCCCATGAGGGGGCTAAGTCACTTGTCTAAGGTCACATATCTAGCATGTCGTGGAATCAGTCGTCGAACCTGGTTTGTCTGCACTGAAGTCCATCTCCTTCATGAGACTTTATAGTGTTTGCTTCCCCCTCTCTTTCTAATTTCCTTCCATTCTGATTCCCACTGAATAGGGGACAGAAGCCAGCCAAGTTTGAGTGACGTCCATCCACCAAGCCCTAGACACCAGGTCCAGCCCAGCTTTGCCTTTGCCTTGCTGTGTGATTTTGGGTAAGTCAAACTTTTCAGCCAGCTATCAGTTTCTCCATATGTCTCACAGAGAAGTTAATGGTGAACTTCTTTTTCCAGCTGAGGCCTGGCTAGGAGGACACAGTTTAGCTGGCTTTCACCAATGTGGCAGTGGCAAAGAGGGTGAGGAGAGCGTTGTGGGAGGTTGTCTTTAACCCCACCCTCTGGTGACATCACACAAGACACCTAGTCCCGGGAAGCCCCGCCCCTAGTGTCTCTCACCTGTGACGTGCCACCCAGTGCTTGGCATCTGGTGAATTTGCTCAGTCCCACAGTAGAAGTCATTAGCCCCCCAGACCCGAAAGAAACCCCAGGTACCCTGTGCAACCTGGGAGGCTAGAAGGGGGCCCATGGAGGTGTACTGGGTTGGGCTGAGCTGCCTGGAACAGGTAGGGCCCACCAGCCTAGTGGGCACACTGCTCTGAGACAGACTACTTAGAGGATACCCTGGTAGTGCCCTCCAGATACCTACCCTCGTCCTTCCAGCTCAGGCTTGACCCCTGCCCCACTTTTTCCTTTCCTCTGGATCAGGGTCCCTTCCCATGGAGTCTGGAGGTGGGAACTCATTCTGAAAATAGGCCTATTTAGATAGAATGGGGCCTCCAGCTAAGGTCTAAAGGAAGTAGGACGATGGGACCTCTGTCATCCTAGCATGTTTTCCTTGGTCTGCCCCTAGTGCCCATTGTGCTTGGAGGAGGCGGGTGATTGCTGTAAGCCTGAACCTCCCTTGGTCAGAGAAAGCAGGTAACCAGCAACTGAGGGAGACTGAGCTTCTAGAACTCTAAGGAAGTTATTTACTGGAAAGAGCCTGGTGCCTGCCTGAGGCCAGGGTTTTGTAAAATTGTGTGGGGTACAGACACATGTGACCTGAGTAGGGCAGCACTGCATCAGAGAGCAGGGTCCCAGGGGATTGCTGCAGCCTCTTTTTTTTTTTTTTTT